ACACACACACACACACACACACACACACACACACACACACACACACACGTGAGTGTATCAAAGGAGCACAGACAACTGAAAGTGCTCCCAGTGGCCAAAGCTGAAACAATTTGAGCAACAAAATTAAAGTGGCATCACATTATAAACCAAAGTATAAAATAAACATCCACAAGTCCGTGCTGATGTAAATAAATGACTGAATAAATTAATAAGTGGGAGAGAAGAGACAAATCTCCCATGCAAAAGAATTCTGAATGAAGTATGTAGATCCTCCACCATCAAGGGGATAGGCACCGCCTACCAGCCCTTTAGTGCAGCACCTCCTTCCAAAGAGCACAGGACGAAGGGGGGACAGTGAGCAATGGCACAGCAATGGCCACAGACAAGCACACCACAGCCAGGCAACCCAGCTCAGCATCACGGTGGCACGTCATGCCAATCGTGTGCACCTGACATGACATGAAGACGGTGGCACTTTGCCTCTGTGCTTGTCCTCCCAAACGCCACAACCCCAGCCTAATCGTGAGAAAAACAGCAAATTCCAATACTGCGTCATCCTAGCCATCCAACCCAATATACCTGACTGGTCCTCCTCCAAGCTGTCAAGGTCATCAAAAACAGAAAGTCTGAGGAGCTGTCACAGCCCAGAGGGGCCTCAGGAGACATGACGACTGAATGTCATGTGGGGTCCTGGGTGAGGTCCTGGAGTAGGAAAAGGACATTAGGGGGAAACGGAGGAAATCTGCATAAAGGGTGGACTTCAGTTAAGATGGATCAACTTGGCTCATTAATTGTGACCAATGTACTAATGCACAATGTTAATAATAGGGAAACTGGGATTGGCAGCCTACTGGAACTCTGTGCTACATGCTCAGTATTGCTATAAATCTAAAGCTTTTTTTTTAAGATTTTATTTATTTATTCGACAGAGAGAGACACAGCGGGAGAGGGTACACAAGCAGGGGGAGTGGGAGAGGGAGAAGCAGGCTTCCCGCGGAGCAGGGAGCCCGACTCGGGGCTCAATCCGGGACTCGGGGCTCGATCCCAGGACCCTGGATCATGACCCGAGCCGAAGGCAGACACTTAACGACTGAGCCACCCAGGTGCCCCTTAACCAGGATATTTTGACCCGCAGAAATCATGGTAGCCCTGGGACTAAAATCGTGAGCAGCCTGCCAGAGTCCCACTTGATTTGTATAAGCAGAATAGCTCTAGGCACGGTGAATACAAGTGAATGGAACACCAGGGACTGGCGGTGGGGGGTGGGCCTTAAACAACAGAAATTTACTTGCAGTTCTGGACACTGGAAGTCTCAGACCGGGATGCCAGTGTGTTGGGGTTCTGGTGTGAGCTCTCCACTGGGTTGCAAGTGGCCACCATGTCCGTGTGCACACGTGACCTCTCCTTGGTGTGTGTGCATGATGAAAGAGCAAGCTCCCTGGTGTCTCTTCTTCTAAGCACACTAATCCCAGGAGACCAGGGCCCCACCCTCAGGACCTCATGTAATCCTAACTACCTCCCCCAAACCCCATTTCCAAATGCCATCACACTGGGGATTAGGGCTTCAATACAGGAATTTGGGGGGATGCAAACACTCAGTCCACGACAAAAAGTTTTACTTGAATCACTGTGATAGAAAGTCATGGACCCCTAGCCAATTTCCAGGTTTAAGCCAGTCCACAGAGCCCAAGACCCCTTGGATGAGGGCAAGGCCAGTGCCCTCGAGGCCCCTAAAGGGCCACTTACCACATGGCTGTAATAGGAAAGAAGAAATCCCAGGCTTTTCAGGGACATTGGTTCTGAACTGACATTGATTCCTGGAGACCCAAAATACCACTGTGACCACCAGTCAGGGTAGGGGCCTATGGAGGGTAGGTGATCAATGGTGTTTTGGTCGTGCCCATCTTACTGTGGGTCCAGAGGGTCCCTGAACCTATCAGTGGTTAGTACCCTGTTGCAGAATGCATTAATTGGCAGTTAGCAGAATCCCATCTTGGTTTCCTGGTCCCTGGAATGGGGGCTGTTATGGTGGGAAAGGCCAGGTGGAACCCCAGAACTGCTCCTACCTGGGAAAACAGTAAAGCATCTCTGGAGGGAGGGCAGAGACCAGTACCACCAACAAGGACCTGAAAGGTGCGGGGGTGGTAATCCCCAGCACACCCGTTTGCCCTTCCGATCAGCTGATGCTGAAGACGGGGGTCTCGGACGATGACAACAGACTGAGCATGACCAGGTGGTGACTGCAACTGGTGGTTTTATTACTGAAGCAAGTCCATGGGGACTGGGTCACTGCTCCTCTCCACTGGACCTCACACCATTACATTGGTGACATCACGTTGACTGAAGTGATGAGCAGAAAGCGGCATTTATCCTCAGTAGGCCCAGTGAAAAATAAATTCCACAAAAAGTCCAAGGCTTTCCACGTCTGAAATGTCTAGGGGCCCAGTAGACATCCCTTCCTAAGTGCAAAGCAAGTGGCTGTAACCAGTCCCTCCCACAAAGAAACAGACAACAGTGACTGGTATGTCTTGCCCTTTGGGAGACGGTTTTACCTCATCTGGGTCTACTACTCCAATCCCTTACCTGAGTAATCCAGAACAAAAGGAGATGCTGCAGAAGGTCCAGGCTGCCATGTAAGCTCTCGGCCATCTGGGCCACATGACTCAGTGGATCCGATAGCCTTGGGTGTCTGGAGCATTTGGCCAACCTCACAGTGAGTCACAGCACAAACCATTAGCAGTGCTCTGCCGTATTCCGAAGATAACTGACCTGACTCGCTAGCAGGCATACCGACGTGTGGTTTAGAGAAAATAAAAGAAACATAAGCACACCACTGTTAATATGTTTAAAACACAATTTGGTATGTTTTAATGAGTGTGCAGATTACATAAATGAGGAAGGTGGATTGGAGGGGGGAAGGGCAGGGACGGGAGGTGGTGGCTGAGGAGGTTTGAAGATGTGGGCACTGTCCACGGGGTAGGTGACAGAATGCCCTAACGGTGGGACGTGGCCTGCTTGATTCTGGGCCCCGCGGTGAAAATGAAAGGACAGAAGGGCAGTGTGGCAGCTCACAGCAAGACTGCAACTTCCTGCACAATGTGTCCCGGATGCGCTGGGGGTCCCTGTCCCCTCCTCTCAAACCTGGGTGGCCTGTGACTGCATGTGGTAGAACCGACGTGTGGTAACCCAACAGGCGTTTTGCCCCCTTTGCTGGAGCCCCGAGGCCACCTCCTGGAAGCGGCCCCATCCGGGTGCTCTGCTTAACCATGCTGGCTGGGCACCAACACAAGGGTGCAGCCAAGTCTGGCCCGGTCATCAGGGTCGCCCCCGGCCATTCACTTTTCCCACCTGAGGCCTGTCCTGTTGTAAAGCAGAGAAAAACTGTCCTGTTGGGCTCTGTCTAAATTACTGACCCATAGAATCCACGAACCCCAGTAGCTGGTTCACACCGCTCCTGTTGGGGTGGTGTGTTGCACAGTAACACAGAACTGGAACAGGTGGAGGAAGAGAGAAACGGAGAAGGGTCGGGCTGGCCACTGGGCGGGGGGGGCCTGGAATGGCCCAGGCAAGAGTGGGAACCAAGTGGGGCAAATTTCATCATCCACCCATACTCCCCTCCCGCCACCGGCTCAGCAAGAGCTGCACCCCAGACCCCGGCGCTGCAGTCCAAAATGGAAGAGCTGCGTTGTGCACCCCTCCTGCCCCTTCCAGCGCGTCCTGCCCACCTGCTTGTGCAACTCCTCCCCATCTTTACTCTGCCTTCACTTGCCCTTCTGCTGCCCATGCACCTGTCAGCCAGGAAAGACCCTGGCTGCCAGGATGAAGCCACCTGCTTTTGAGACCCTCCTCAGCCTCACCTCCATGGCAAGACCCCCCCACGCACACTCCGGCCCCTCATCCATCACCACCACCTACCACTGGTGTCTCCCCCCCAAATTCCCTTTCCCTTGACTCCACTTTGGGCCCTACTCTTCCTGGCTGCTCTATGTTCTACAGGCTCCAGCTCCAAGGCCAGGCTGTACCCCAGCCTCCAGCTTTCCCTCCACGTTCCCTCAGCCCCTGGGGTCCCCTATTTCCTGGAGTCCTCTGCTCCCTGTGTCCGCCCCCCAACCCATAGCCTGTGCCTCCATTGCCTCCATCCCTACACACCCTGATCGCCACC